AATATTTGGGGTGTGAACGGGTAGGATATTGTGCCTGGGCAACACTTTCCTTCTTACCTCACAAAACACATCCCCCAAATTTGAATTAGGCATAGGAAACATTCTTTCCATTTCAGGAACTATGAGAGAAATACAAATACAGAATGAGAGCTAATGTATAAAAGAGAGTTTAAAAGATCTCACTGCATCCAGTCAGGAATACATTAGTTAGGAAGTAAGTCCCTTTAATTTCAGAGGAACTTATATTTGAATTGGTTTTTTTCCCCCTCTAAAGCAATTTGCCCTCTTACTTCCCCTAGTCAATATCCCAGAAATCTCTTTTTCCACAGTGACGTAGTTCCATTTTTTTTCTTCCCCGTGATCCCCTTTTGAAACAGTTGCCTGCAGTAGATAAACTGGCTGAATCATGCAATTGGCAAGGCAGGGAAGGACACCCAATTTAAGCTTCTCCTTTCAGCCAGTTGTTCTTGGATACAAGTCCCGCACCAGGTCGGGATTCCGGATTGAATTGGAGCAGCTGCCGAATGAGAGCCTTGCAGGGCTCAGACAGGCAAGGCAGATCTTCAGGAAACATGACTCCTTTCTTCTGGCGGCAGGGCATGCTGTGAATGTGAGTGTCGTCGAAGGGCATGCAGCCAGTAATCATGACATAGAGCATTACACCCAAGCTCCATATATCATACTTTTTTGGATCATAGGGGATACCCATCAGCACTTCTGGGGACGCATATGCAGCTGATCCACAGTAGGTAGTACTCAGTTCAGGGTATCCACGCGATTCCTTGCCAAAACCAAAGTCAGTCAATTTTGCTCGACGGCCGTCTGAAGTAAGCAACACATTCTCACACTTCAGATCCCGGTGCACCAAATGCCTGTCATGGAGGTAGCGTACAGCACCCACAACTTGGGCAAAGATGTCTCGCGCTTCAGGAGCACAGGGTAATTTCCCTGCTTGTTGTACCATTTGTAGCAAGTCTGTGGATGCAGCTTCCATCACGATGTAGAGAGTCCCGTTGCAAACTTCAATAAATTCATACACTCTTACAATGTGTGGGTGCCTGATACCTCGCAAAATGGAGAGTTCCCGTGGTAGAAACTTTTCCACAAAATCCCGGGGTGCTCGACGTCGGTCCACCATTTTGATTGCTAGTGGCCCTTTGTATTTGGCCGAGGTGGCCACCCTTACTTTGGAATAGCTTCCTTCTCCCAAGGTTTGGCCCAGCTTGTAACCCAGGTCACTCAAAAGTTTGTCTCCTTTGGAAGCCCTTGACATGATGACCTGGCAAGGCTGAAAAACTTTAGTTTCCTTTCTGGGACTCAGTGCTTTAACCCATTGTGATTGGTATCTCTAGACTTTTACTCCCCATATGCCCTTTGAGGCTTGGGCTTCGAAGTCATCACTACTCAAAACATGTATTATGAAGTGCAAGGGGTGTCATGGGTTATGTCTGCAAAGCATAATCAGAAGTGTCAGTTGGCCCCTTTTGGTCCAGAGTAGTTCATTTTAGATATACTTAGGAAATCCCAGAAGAGGATTTAGTTCTTATTACCACTCTAGTTCTTTTCTGTAATGTATTTGTTTTCTATGTGGCGAAATCATGTCTGTTTTTTAGAATAGCACTTTCTCTACTGTTAGAGCCCACACAGAGTTTGATTATCCTGTGCTGGATTTTTGTAATCTTTGAAGTTCTGTCACTCTCTTCTCATCTCTCAGGAATTTAGTACTTCTTTTAGAAATTAATTCTACAGTAAGCTTTCTTTAAAAAAAAATATCCCAATGATTTAAAAGATCAAATTGTGCATAGTAATCAAGATCAGAATTTCAAACTTGATGATGTGGAATCAAATCGCTCTATTAAAAAAATGTCCCAGAACCCCTGATCAAGAGGCAAAGCTTTAGTGATAGAAGATTGGTGATATCTGGGTGGGGGGAAATCCTTTATTATGGAATCCCCTCAAATCCTTGCAGATCACTGTGGAATAGTTTGACAAATTTGACCTAAATAATTTTAAATGTCTCGGTTATGTAAATGGATCAACTTGAAAGAAAAATGACCTGAAATCCTTCATGCTAATATACTGTATATTAGCACCAGTACTCTAATACATACATACATACATACATAATGTGTGTGTGTGTGTGAGAGAGAGAGAGAGAGAGAGAGAGGGAGAGAGAGAGAGAGAGAGAGAGAAAGAGAGAGAGAGAGAGAGAGAAAACAGGTCAGTTAAAATGTCAATTAAAATAATAGCCTTGATTAAGAAAGCTTAGAATAGTTCTTCCAGAAGTTTCAAGGTCAAACTAGTTAGATAAAAGTAGTCTTCAGCTCATTCGGATAGAAAAGAATAGAAACTTTATTTAGTCTTTTGACCATATCAAAATATAAAACTAATACAAATGGATACAAAGAAAACAATGGGACATGTTCATTATAAGCCATCATCCCTACATTACATCCACTCTGACCCTGATCTTATTCATAACAGTTTCAATTTATGTCACTTATAGACAAATATACAGCTAAAGAGTGCCAACTATTTACAACTTTTATAGACTTCTGTGTAGCATTTGGTTCAATAAAGTATTTAGTTGGAAAAAACTTACGGATCTGATCACAGATCCCATTCTTCTCTTCAATCAAGGCAATAATATATTCAAAAACCACATGCCTAAAGATAGTTAGAAATATCATATAAATGGAAAAGTGCCAGTCCAGGTACAGCTGTTGCACACACCTGGGGAAGAAGCAACCTAGAACTGAGGAAAAATTTCCTGACAGAACAATTAATCAGTGGTTGTTGCTTTGTTCACTTTTTTTTAAAGCTGATGCCTTTGTCTAATACCCATCTGTCTGTTCTTTGTTGTTGTGTTCCCTTATTAGATTCCATTTTTAAAAGCATGGTTTTGATGCCAATTTGTATCATGTGGCACTGTACAGGTATCCTTGACTTATAACAGTTCATTTAGTCACCATGGCACTGAAGAAAGTGACTTACAACCATTTTTCACAATTACGACTGTTGCAGCATCACCACGATCACGATTAAAATTCAGATGCTTGGCAACTGACTCCTATTTATGATGGTTGCAGTGTCCTGGGGTCATGTGATAATTTTATGCTACCTTCTGACAAGCAAAGTCAATGCAGAAGCCAGATTCACTTAACAACCGTGTTACTAACTTTACAGTTGCGGTTAACAACGGTGGCAAGAAAGATGGTAAATTGGGACAAAATTCATTTAACAATTGTCTTGCTTAGCAATGAAAATTTTAGACTCAATTGCGGTCATAAACTGAGGACTACCTGTAATCTAGTCTAGGCCAGTATCTGAACTGACCACTGAGCCTTTAGCCTCAGACTGAACAAAGGAATTTTCTGCTTTTTACCCTTGATCCAAAAGCAAATACCTGCAGAACAGAATACCTGCTTGTTTATCACTCCAAACTGTCCTTTTTGGGTGTGGCAATCCTAGATTAGGGAGATTTTTTTTACAGTATTCTTGGATGCAATTCATCCTGCTGAGGCAAAATAAAATCATGCAAAATAAAGGTGACCATATTTCCATCAATTCAAGCTTCATTCCTGTTGCTTGCTGTACCTCTTGAAATCTAAATCTAAAACATTTTCTGTTTTAAAGAAAAGGAAAATTTATCCCAAATTGTATGAACTATACAGTGGATTAGCAAAACAAGTGATCAAAAATGTTTGTTCTGTCAGGATTAACTCTGGAACTCTCTATTATATCAGTTCTGTAGAAAAAATTAGAGTCCAATCAGTCTTATCAGGGAAGTGGTATCTATATAGCAATGCCTTTTAAGTGAACTGTGTAAGGTTTTTCTGACAGTTTTGCTGGTATCCAAGCATTTTTATACATGCTCAAGATTGCATGCAAGTAAAGTGATGAGGGAAAAAAATCAGTTAAGTGCAAGAACACAGCACTGTTTGGTTTCGAATAAATTCTATGAAATTATAGGATATAATTCCTTGGTCTTTTATAAGTTAATTTCTCCAGATGTTAAGCCTGCAGAAATGCTTTTTACGAGACAGTTAATAAACTGAATAATTACATGCTCGACTGTACACCATATATGCTTCTTTTTCAAGTCGGGATCCGTTGATCTAAATTACACTATTTACCCACAGCTACTGAGAAATAAGCCCATCAAATCAGGTCGGGAATCACTGATCTTGAAAGTAACGTGTGGGTTGGTTTTCAAATATTTTTTCCGCCTGAAAAAAAGTGGTTTTCAAAGCAACAAGACACCACGGCCAATTACAGTCCCTTTTAAGATTCTCGGTTATTATCTCCAGCGTTCAAGCTTTCCTAGACCCGGGATAAATGGATTTTGCTGCTTATTCTACTCCGTTTCAAACATTATCTAAGCTTTGCGGTGAAAATACGTTTTACTGCACACGACAAACGGGGGTGGGTGGGTAATCCTGGCGCGTACAGGTTGGCCGGGACCCTCCTTTCGAAAAGGAGGAAGTCAGTGAAGGAATCAGCGGCACTGTGAAAAGCCACAGACCGCCATTCCGGGAAGCTCCCGATGAGAGCAGAGAATTTGTCCTCAAATGAAGCAACATACGGCCTGCCCCGACAAAGGAGCCGAAGGAAAAGAAGGTGTGGACGGCTATAAGCAGGAGTAAATATTCTAGGTCAGAGGACAAAAGAATCTCCTCTGACCAATCGGCTTCTTTCACGAGGCACTTTGTCACATTCAGATCCATTCCGCGTCCACTGGGCGATACCATTTCGCTTGGGTGGGCCCCGTCCTGCTTTTTTATATCTCCAGCGCGGGTTGGTTACAACGCGGATAACATACGAAGCGAGGTTGATAAGACTCCGCAGCTGCTCGTTTGTCCGGCAGCCGGTGCCTCCCTTCTCTGCTTTCCTTGTGCTTTTCTTCACACTTTTTTCTTCCCTTCCCCTCACGAGGAGCAAATGGATCGGTCCGCTCGGCTATAAAAGCGCGATGCGGCACATGCTTGCCTTCCATAGAGGGAGAACGTTTGCGGAAGGAGCTGGTGCGGGGTTGGGGGAATGAAGTTACTGCGCTTACTTTCTCGGGGTTGGTGTGCTCAGTAGGGGTGGAGGCGGACAAGGAGCAGCAAAGCACTTTAGTGGTTGTAAAATAACAAGGAACAAGAGAAAGCGACTCGCTTTCTTTTCTCCCTCGTTTTTCGGTGGAGCTAAGCGCGTTGTAAGAAGCAGGGAGGAGAGAAGAATGCTGGACTGGTTTTTCCCTTCCACCGGCAGGGGCGGAAATCGCAGCTGAAGCCGGCCAAACTCTGTATCCCTGTATAATCACAGAGCTCAGGCTTCTAACCCCAACCCGGCTGTACATTTATCTGCGATCAGGAGTTCCCCTTCCCCCGATTGGGAGTTCAACCAGTTTGAGCTACAGGAAAGGGTTTCTCTGTGTGCGCGCCTTCTGGTCTCTTTTAAAAAAAAAAAAAGCCTTCTCACCTTGCCACCGCCAGCTGTACATATAATTGCCTTTTTTTTTTTTTTTTGGAAAAGCTGGTCAAACTCACATCCCGATCCCCGGCTGCCCTCTGGTACCCAGTGCTCCGCTGGGAAGGGATGGTTTGTCCTGCTCATTCTGTCCCCGCAACACCCGTGTCTTTCTCCTGAGCAAGTAGCATGAGCATGGCAAACGAAACATACCTCTGCATAAAAGATATAAAGCCCGGACTGAAAAATGTAAATGTCGTCTTTATTGTACTGGAGATAGGTAAGTGGGGTCCCTTGGAACCATCGCGTTCATTGTTTTCCTCCCTCAGTCTCTCCTCCCGCCTCCCCTTCCTAATCTTTCCTTCTCCCTCTTTTCTAGCTCAGTTACTTTGTGTGTGTGTGTGTGATAGAGAGAATGTGTTTGAGTTTGGGACACGTGGTCACTTCAGGGAAAGGGTTGGCAGTCCCAGGGGTGGTGTGCTCCACCCTTAAAAAAAAGGTCCTATTTTTAAACAAACTCATTCCAGATTTTTAGCGACCCCCTTTTTTTTTTTAATATTTAGTATTTCTCTGCAATTAGTTCCAAAGTTTTAAGCTCCATAATAACTTCCTAATCATATTTACAGGTGAATAAGTTATGGTGAAGACTATTGAGTCATTCTTTCTAAGTCTGTCTCATTTGCTTTTTCTCTCTCTCTCTCTTTGTTTCCTACCAGGGCGTGTTACCAAAACCAAAGATGGACATGAGGTCAGGGCGTGCAAAGTAGCTGACAAGACAGGAAGTATCACCATCTCTGTGTGGGATGAGCTTGGAAGCCTCATCCAGCCAGGTGATATTATTCGGTTGATCAAAGGGTACGTAATGCAAAATAAGGATGATGTCAGGCTGAGCTCAGCCTGGCTTGTTTGCTCTAGAAGCAGCTTGCCTGCTTCTTGGAAGGCAAGTGTTCCTGAACATGGAGTAGGTAAACTTGCACTGAAGCAGCTGTGACTTCCATCTCTTTTGGAGAAAGAGGGCAGTGGGAACAGGAATTCTTCTCTTGCAAGGCTGCAGTGAGAACAGCAAACTGGCTGTGCTTTCTTTAAACTGGGTTTGCCTCAATCAATATACTGTACATAGGAAGAATTGTTGGGCTGGCTCATCCCTTTGCCACATCTAACCCACAAATGCCTGTTGACTGACAATACTTCTTCAAGGTTGTTCCAATCCTCTAACGGCTTGATCAGTTTAACAGGAGGAGAGGCAAAGATTGGCCAGCGGAAAGGGGGCCCTGTGCCACTTTGTCTCTTGGAAAAACACCTGTCCCCTCAGTGCTTACCTCCCATGAACTACATTGAGAGATCAGCTCCCTAGGGTAAGTGGCAGGCAGAGGAAAGGGTTCACTCTTTCCAATGGTCTCCCTCTCTGTCACACACAGTGGTTTGTATATGATTGGAACTGGCCCAGATATAAACAAAACTGTTGTCTCTGACTTGGTGTGTGGCAGTGGAGCCTTTCTTAACCACATGTTAGCCTTGACTGACCTCTTAAAGCAGCCTTCCCCACCTTATGACTTCCAGTTTTCCAACCAACATGGCCACTGATCAAGTTGGCTACAGGTGGTGACACTTTGAAGAACTGGATTGGGTGGGGGGGCTTAAGGAAACAGGTGACCCGCTCAGTTTTCCTTATTGTCTCTGTGCCCGTTTTGTAGAAGTGGGTTGACTTAAGGGATTTTCTATAAAGGAGAAGCAAAGCTATGCTCCTTCAGGAGTCAAGTTGAACATTGCAGTAGTAGAACTCTGACTTGGGAAATGTTCTAGAGTTGTGAAATAAAGAGATATCCAGATAGCAGAACTTAACTGACTTTATCTAATTTGGGGGGCTGGGGGCAGGGAGACCATGGTCAGATCAGATTAGCATTTGGATGGGAAGCTGCTAGGAAACCTTTGAGCCAGAAACCAAGGAATCATATTTATATTTATCTATCTTATAGGAAGAAAGCAGTGGAAACAACTTTGGTATTGTTGCCAAGGAAACAACATGGCATGTCATAACATCAGCAAGAGTCAAGCTTGATCTAAGGGAGATTTCACTTCTTTAAAAGACTGTCATAACTATGAGCAGGAAGACATACTAGAGCTGCTCTCTGCATTCATATCTTCTCTGTAGACAGAGTAGTTTAGGTGGATGATAATTTTTGGCTTCCCCATAACTGAAGCAGTTTTCTGCAGAGGGAGGGAGGGAGGGAGATATTTGGTGGTGCTCAGCTTCATAGCTCTGAACACCTTGTCTAACTTCCTGAGCTTTTTTTAAAAAGACCATAATTTTATTTACATGGCTTCCCAGTAAAAATCAACACCTGGAAGCAGCCTTTGGACAAGACATCCTGCTTAATATCTTCTCAGATATCCACTTGTAAATTGTGGGTCTCACTGCTGTTTTTAAAATTTACACCTCATTTTTCAGTATCTGAGCTGGCCCAAAGTAGAGTTGAAAAATTCAAGGCCTCCTCCCTCCAATGTCTTCGGCAAAATGGGCCCTGTTTATTTTATAATCCTGCAAGTGTGACATTTCCACATTTAGCATACCTTGGACAGAGGCATGTGACATATCCTGAATGAGGCTGGAACATATTCTTTGGCTTAAGCTTAAAATACAGCCATGGCTGCTTACTTGGGAACAATGCAAGACTTGCTTCTGTATCAATGGGCAACCAGATGTAACCCTTAGACTAACTTGTAAGCATTCATAGGGCAACTTGGTGCAATACCATATTAAAATTGATTTCTATTCGCATTTTAGCAGAACTCATACGTGACTCACACAAAGGGATAACTTATTTGAAGATTGATACCTCAATACTTTGGCTGCCTGTGCAAAAGTTATTAGAAGCGATATTAATTTGTATAAGCAGACCGTATCTTCCTCCCCTTTCTATCAGCCTCAGTGAAATCTTGGTAAAGAGTTACTTTGTTGAATTATGAGTCTCAAGGGCCAACTGGAGTCATAAAGAGGAATGTATTATAGGAACCATACTGAATGCAAGTTTCAGTTACTTAATTCTTTAATATGATAAAATAAGGTTATCCCAACTGGTTCTTAATTACAATCAAAGTATAGAAGTCTGCAATTAATGTAAGGCAAATCCAAGTTTAAGGCTTCAGTGCTTCAAGTGTATTTTTTATTGTATTGATGATAAATGTGACAGCATTTGATGAGGGATGGTTTGTTTTATCCTGATAAAACTTGTACAATCACTCCATTCTCTTCTGGTGTCTCTAATGGTTCAATCAGAATAGAGCTGGAAGGGACCTTGGAGGTCTTCTTGTCTAATCTCCTGCTCAAGCAGGAGACCCTATACCAGGGGTCTTCAAACTTAACAGCTTTAAGACTTGTGGATTTCAACTCCCTGAATTCCTCCTCCAATCATGTTAGCTCAGGAATTCTGGGAGTTGAAGTCCACAAGTCTTAAACTTGCCAAGTTTGAAGTCCCTTGCCCTATACCATTTGACAGTTCAAGCTTTTCTTAAAAAACTCCAGTGATGAAGACAACTTCTGATGGCAAGCTGTTCCACTGGTTAATTGTCCTCATAGTTAGGAAGTTTCTCCTTAATTCCAGGTTGCTTCTTTCCTTGTTTAGATTCCATCCATTCTGTAATGCTGCTTGTGTTTCCTTGCTTAGGTATGCCTCTCTGTGGAAAGGATGCCTTACACTTTATACCGGAAGGGGAGGTGACCTGCAAAAAATTGGGGAGTGAGTATCTCAATTTGCACATAATCTGTTCATTGTTTGAAGCCTGATAGGTAAGGCAAAATCTGGGCCCTAAGGGAAAAAGTCTCTCTGCCATTTACTCCTCCTCTGTGGTATTGATACAACTTTATTTGGTTTTATTTGCCTGAAAGTGGGGTGGGAGAATATAGAGCTTGAGAACATCAACTTCAGTAGCTAAGAAATGGCATCTTAATAAGTCTTTTCCATCCAGCATAATTTCTGTCTTTTGATTATAGTTGTAAACAGGTAAGTTTAGCCATTTGTTAGGTTAAGACATTGTCACTTTCAAGGACTTGCAGCATGAAAATCTGAAGTCCTCTATTTATCCACAGGCCAGGTACGGTAGAGGCAGCCGCAATGCGAGCTTCCACATCCTACTCTGGTATTGAGCTCCAGTCTCCTGGAGGAGCCAGCTTCTCTAGGGGTGTAAAGGTAAATTTCCCCCTCTATATAGCAGAATCTTTTAGGTTCTAATTAAGGGCTCTGAGATATACTGAATCAGACTGTTGACTTGTCTAGCATTTATCAACTTTGGGTAGGCTGTTCATCGAGACCTGTAATAAAACTTTAAAAGCAAAGAACTGGACCCATTCAGATTTTATTTTTACACTTTAGGGGCTGGTTCATCTTGACATGAATGATGATGGGAGCATTAGATGATCATCAGAGGTTTAACCCTGTATTGAAGATACACTGAAAATGTTTCTCCTTGCATTGTGTCAGATGCAGTGGAAGAATTCTTGGCATTCAACTCTCCATTTTCTGTGAATTGGGCTAGCTATGTATATTCAATAAATGAGGATTAATGTGCTAGTGACCCCATTCAAACTTTTCAATAATTGGTCCATAATTCATTTTCCAGTTATTCTGTCATAATCATGCATTGTAAACTAGGCTAGATTGGACAGGAATATTTAGGGCATAATTTCAACAATTGGAATGTTAAGTGGCCTCTGTGATTATACTCATAGCCTAATTTATGTAACGTGACTTCGAATTATTCACAGTACATTACCTTCCATTAAATCTGCTTCCATTTTTTTTTAATTAAAGCAAAAAAATCCAAAGGTGCCTAAAACTTGTAGGAAACAATAGCACTTTACAGCCCTCTCTAAGCAATTTACAGCATATTGTGCCCAACAGTCTGGGTCCTCATTTTACCCATCTTGGAAGGATGGAAGGTTCAGTCAACCTTGAGCCATTCAGAATCGAACTGCTGGCAGCCGGCAGTCAGCAGAAGTAGATTGCAGTACTGCATTCTAACCACTGCACCACCACAGATGTTGTCATAAAGGGGAAAAAAGTGTACAGGAATAGTTTTGTTAGAAAATAAGTGTTGCAATGGAAATGGCATAGGGTAGGTATTTTAGCCAAAACAGGGCTGATGACCTGATGATCTGGATTTAGAGAAGATTAGTATACATTTCTAAAATAGGTGGCTATCTGATTTTAGTTTGGGGAGGCTAAGTGACGCCAGAGATTGAAATGCATTTGTTTTGGATTTGCCAGTGTGAAAGAACATTCTGCTGAGCACAGTGTCACTTAATAGATTCTATCCCACAGGAGACTCAGACCACAAATACAAGTGTTTGGAAGAAGAGGTTTAAAAGAGCAATTTAATATGCAGAATTTTGGGGGTGCACTTACGTATTTGGCATGTTAACTGGTCTTAAAATACTTCTCTTTGGAACTTGTTGCACACTAGCCTTACTGTGTTTTCTCTGTATGGCTCAGATCTAGGCATGTTTTCATATAAGTGAGGCATTCATGATTCAGTGGATCTCCCCCTCAGGGAAACGTACAAAGGGTTGTAGCCCTGGTGTGTATCCTTTTGCAGAAATGATTAGAATGTTAAATACAGGCATCTACAGTGGAAGGAAACGGGAGCTTAGAATTGCAACCTTGGAAGCCAGTCCCATCGCTTGTACAGGCTTTAGTTTTCTCGGGTCCCGAACTTTGGATAAGCTAAAGCATCAAATTTGGGGACTGTATTTCTCATTGGTGATCTTGTAGCCCTTTCTGGCTGCCTTTAGGGTTTATTGCTTGGAAACGGGATAGAGGCTGCAGAAATAGTCGTGGCAAGAAACTTCATTCTCTCATGAGTTTGTTTTTCTGTGCAGGTTCTGCATGGTGTATTCAGAGGTGCCCAACTTCAGTGAACCCAATTCAGATCACCCTGGGCAGCCGAATAAAGTGGTAGGTTTGTCACATGCAGCTCCGTTCTGGGGTCTGCCATCAGCAGCTTTAAGCTAGGTTTTTCTTGGGTCTTATCCAGGATGACCTTTTCGCTACAGTGGATTTTCAATCTTTAGGGGAACCATGGGCAGGGGAGGGGGTAACTTTTTCAAGGGAAAAGGGGTTTGTTTTCTTAATGCTTTTTTTCCCCTTTGCATTTTTTTTTCAAGGCACAGGGTGAGCAGGCTAACAATTCCATTCTGTCAGCTAATTCGGGTACTTGTACTTTTGGGCCAACTGGTAAGTAAGTGTGTGGGAAGTAGGAGAAAGCATGGAATGGCTATTTGGGAAGATGCGTTTAAATTGTGGTTGATTTTAAAAAGCAAAGCTAAGAAACTATACTTAACTTTGGCTTGCTGCTAGATTAACTGTAATAATTAAAGCCAAATTTGATAGAGAATTTAAGCAGCAAGTTGACTTTACCTCCCTAACTCTGGACTTGTCGCTAATGACCCCGAAGTCGTTGGCTGAGATGGGCGGCTATAGAAATAAAATAAGTTAAAATAATAAATCCAAAACTTTGCTAGACAAATAGGAGGAATATTCACTGCTCCTTGTCCAGTCAGATTTTGGTAATATGTCAATTTACATCTCCCATTCCACAGTTTCATGTAACAAATAAATAAACCATGGACAGACCAGGCATCTGTTTCCTTCAGTATAGTCTCATATACACCAACCATTTTATCAGGGCAACTTACTGGAGGGAACATACACAGGGAACTGATTTTGAAGAACCTCGAGCTCCTGATACAACAGATGTATTTAACCCAAAGCTAGACATAATAAAAAAGTATCTGCTACATAATCTTTGTAAGATAATTGTTTCCAGCAAGTTAATACCCAATAAAGATTTTGTACTATCACAACAACTTTTAAGATGAACTTCAACTCCCAGAATTCTCCAGCCGCCATCTTCAAGTCCCCACGTCTTAAAGTTGCTGAGGTTGGAAAACACTGGCTTAGATGGTGATTTGCTATGTTACCTTCTTTTAATTAGCTTTGGTGCCTGTTTATAGATAAGCAGGAATGACCTGCATTATACAGAACTCGCCCAAGATCCTGCTGCATCACTAAGACTGTTACCGCTAGTGCATTGATTACCACCGTGTGGCAAGCTGTCCCTGGGGACTCTGTGGTGTCCACTGGTGATTTCACATGCTCTCGGCAACTTCATACTAAATGCTCCCTAGTTAAAGAACAGGCTCTTTTGAGCATTAGCAGTCTCCATTGTTAAAGAAATGTGGCCTGAGAAAATAGAAAGTTTGGTGACAGTTTTTTTTTAAATTTTCCTTTTTTTTTTTTCCCTCCCTAGGAAATGGTTTGACAACTGGACCGGAGTTGAGTGGATTGTCCACTGCTTACAATCATGCCCCCACCTATGCAGGTTCTGGGAGGTCTGGCGGACGTGGCCCCGCTCCTCTTGCGTCTGTGCTGTCTAACAATGCTCGTCCCTTACAAAGCACAATTAGTAATGGGAGGGACCCCCGCAGAGCCTCCAAAAGATGACCAAACCAAACGCCACCCTGTCCACACCGTTAGCCTACTTGAACACTTGCTGCACTTTTATTTATGGTTTACTGTGAAAACGTTTGTTCTTTCTGATTCTCGGCCCAGAGGGAGAGACTTTCTCACTTCTATGCCTCCCCCCCCGTCTCCTCCCCCCGGCCCCGATTCAAAATTAAGTGAAGCTACCGATCATGCGTCGTCACCCCAGAAAGAAAACGTGTGGAAAATATAGAAGCCTATTTGAAAAGAGATTTCCTTGTTAACTATTAGTTGCCGTTTTCCAAAAGGTGGCTCAGTATTTGCCTGGATAAGTATTTTTATTTTGGTTTAAGTTTGTGTGATGCAGCCTTAAGATGTTTGCTTTATTTCCTTTCTGCTCTTGGGACTGACACACATCCCAGTTTGTGGGAGTTTGTGATAATTGTGGGTGGGATAGGAAGGGGTAGGAAGAAGTTCCATCTAACAAGCCAGTTCTTAATTAAAATTTCTAACAATAAGTGCAGATGAACTGTCCAAGCTGGTTGACTTGTATTTGGTTGGGGTTGATCTCATGGCAAGAGTCAGATGTGTCTTGTCAAAAAAGTGTACACTGATAAGAATCCAACTTTTACACAGAATAGAAATCCCAGATTTTTACCAGATAGCCTGCCTTTCTCAAAATGCCACAGAACTTTAAATCTCTCAAACATACATCTGTTTTTTTTAATTACCCTTCTCGGAGATTTGAAGTTTTTTTCATACTCGAAGTAGGTTATTTTGTCGTTTTGAGGTTTTTGTTGGTGTCCAAATTCCCAGCTGGTATGGAATCTCCTGGAAAAACCTTTGCCAGTTGATTCTGCAGATCGATTTCAACTGGCAAGGAGTGGTTTCAAGATGGTTTATGCGCAAGGAAAAGAGGAAAGATTTCCTGTACACAGCCAAAGAGCGGCCCAGACATGGAAATTTTCCATTTGCACTGTTTTCCCCTCCTGGAGCATGAGAATATTGAATCTCAGACTTGCAAATTATGCAGGGCTGTTCTCAAGGGGTAAATAATTAAAGCAGTTGTGGCGCTCCACCCTTTTTATAGGTGAAATGTGAGGTATGCAGCATATAATGAAAGGGTGAGGGGTGTCACAGTAGCATGGCGCTGCTTGCATTCTTTTTACAAAAGGATCCTTCTGGAAACCTCTGAAGCCATGAGCCTCCTAAGATTATTAGCAGTATAAATCTCCCCCTGACAACTGAAGGTGATATGCTACAAAAGAAAAGAGGGGAAGTGATCAATGATAACATTCCCTTTTTGTGAGAACCCTCAATTCTCAAGTGCCTGTTAAATCAATGTTTTTGCAGTTCTTAAATGGTAGAGGTGGGATTTTTTTTTGGGGGGGGGAAGTATCTTGACTGACCTATTCAAGTTTTCAGGTTGGTGAGTTTGAGAAAGCAGAATAACACTGGCATTAATACTAACTTTTATGGTTGGAAAAAAACACGCTTTGTAATTATTCCTGGTAGCTATAAAACTATCCAGTCTTTAAGATTATGATTTGGAGTATATCGAAATGCTATAAAATGACTGGATTATCCCATCTTAACCTTTTGGATGAAGTTTCATAATTAGATTTGCACTAACTGTATTTTAAGAAAAAAATAAATCTTGAGGTTTTTTTTTTTAACGTGTTTAAAAAAAACAGTTTGAAGCAATGACTCCTGTTTGTCCAGATTTACGTGGACATAAATATAATTCCTAAATATAAAGGATGTAGGTCTATACTAATCTTTATAACAAATTTTGGAAGCATTTTCCCACTGTCCTTTTTCTAAAACGGTGTGTCCTGTTAAATTACATTAGTAGATGTTTATTGAAAACTTCAGTAGTATATGAACCTGATTGGAAGGGAACGTGATCTGTTTGAAACGCCCTAGCGTACATACTATTTTATGTAATTTTGGATCTTGCATCTTGAAATGGGAATGCCCATGACACAATGTCTTAAGAAACTGAATGTTTCCTGAATAAAATCTAGTACCTGCAGCTTTTTGATCTATTCACACCTTGTACAGTCATGTCTTAATATTTAGATAAGGTATGGAAAACAGTTCTTCCAATAGCTTTAAAAAAAAGAGAAACTGGACAGGCTTGTTTATAAGTTTAGGTGTTAATTGGAAAGTAGCTTCCTGATCCTATACAACCATGACATTCTCCCTTTAAAAACCAAACTTTGACCACTGGTGTTGGCCCCTGTGAGTGGAAAAAGTAAATTTAATCCTATTTCTGCTGGTTCTCAAATCTTAGTGCATTTGGCTTAACCAAGATTGGCTGATACAACACATTAATTGAACATTTGGCTTATACAGTTTATGAGCCTTATATGATGGCTAACCTAACTGCATTCCATTATGGTGACAAATTAGAGAATCAAGCATAATTTATTGGTTTCCATGGGCCACTTAAAAGTGTTCTTAATTCTAAAGTAATGGCAATAGCACTTAATACATTGCTTTACAACCATTTATATAGTCTGCATATTGACTCCAATAATCTGGGTCTTCATTTTACTGACCTCGGAAGGATGGAAAGATGAGTCAACCTTGAGCCAGTGAAAATTGAACTGCCAAACTGGCAGTCAGCAGAAGTAGCCTGCAGTACTGCAGTCTAACCACTGCCCCATCACAGCTCATTTAATCCTATCTTAAAGAAGTTAAACATCACCATCTTTATACTGGCAGGTTCTAATTTAAAAAAATAGCCTCCACTAAAGATGTTGGAAAAACATGAATGTTAAGAGATGCTTTTATGTGACTTGAGCATTGGGTGGTCATCCTGTATGAATACTGATGTCACAGGGATAGGACTTGATTTGTGGGTGGGTGAGAATATGATCCCTTTAATCCTGTTTTAGAGTTTATTGTTTTTTGTGTTGTCTTTCAAAGCTGAAGATCCTCATCATTTTTAACAATCAAAGATTCCAGAAAAAGGATGGAGGACTACATGTTACCCACTGCATGAAGGCCAAGGCCTTTTTCAATCAGTCTTAACTTTACTACTGTAAACAAAACGAATGATTAGCTATGAACTACTGCTAGTCTCAGTGCCCATCCTATGTCCATCCCTTCCACTCATCACTGCAATAATTATCCACTTCTGTTAATAAAATGGTAACATCAATTACATTTTCTTGCCTCAAACTCATCACGCTGCAAAAAATGGGATGGGCAAAGTGATATACACATAAATAGTGAGATTCAAGCATCCTTGCAAATGCTATAAGATGGCTGGATCCCTTAGCTCAGGCATTCTCACAAATGTGGAAAGTCTTGGGGCTGTGGAATAAGTTATTCCATACTGATAAAAATTCTAGAGCAAAATTATGTGATAATTATGTGCCTATGAAAGCTTGGAAGTGAAAATGGATCTTGCTTCCCCCCCCCCCCTGTTACTTTAGCATTACTAGTCTTGGCATTTGTTACTTAAGCATTAAAACTGCTTCTAGCATGAATGTAATAGCTGGCCATATCTAGCTGACCTCGGCTGATCTTAAAAGGTAAATGGCACTTCATTCTTTGGGGCCATCAGGAATATCTAGGTCAGGGGTGTCCAACCGTGGCAATTTTAAGACTTGTGGAC